ACACACACACACACACACACACACACACACACACACACACACACACACACACACACACACACACACACACAGCTGCAGCGAAACACAGGAAGTGCAGCAGCTGTTTGCAGTTGAAGCTCTTCCTCCAGCAGAATCAGAAACATGTTAGAATATTTGAAACACTGAATATATAAAATACTGAAGAACCAATAAACTCAGAGGTTTTGATGAACCAGGCAGGTTTTACAGTTCTAATTCTCTTTACTCTGAAGATTAACTATAAATTTCTGCTGCTTTGATTTGGTTTTGTAGCTGATTACCCACAATGCACTGCTCTATCTTCAGAACCAGAACGTTTAAAAGTTCAATTTATGTTCATTAACAACTAAACTTAATACAGTTTGCACCTGCATTACCTGCATGTAACAGGTAGGATTAATAAAAGACTGGAGGATTAGAGGGACCACATGTTCAGGACCCAGAACTGACCCAGAACTGATCCAGAACTACAGCCCATAATCTCTGATCTGATCAGAAACATAAAGGTCCAGCTCCTGAACCTAAAACAAACAACTGGAACAACTGTTACAATCTGCCTCCTCCTCCTCATGACCTTCATCCTGACAGGAAGTGAGAAGCAGCACAGAAGAAGGATCTGATGGATCCATCCTGTCGGTCTGAGGCCCGGCTCAGAGGATTCCTTCCTTCCTGTCGTCACGCAGCGGTCACATGACGTGTCAGCGCAGCGATGAAGAGGAAGTGGAGAAATGTGGTTTCTGCAGTTTCTGCTTTCGTCCTGTTAAAGTTCAGGACTACAGGTGGTTCATCTGTTAACGGTTACAGCTGCTGAGAAAGTGCTGAGTCAGGGTTTCTCACTGACCCAACAAGTGGGTTTTAATGAAAACGGCTCTGCTGCCGCCCTTCCTGAGCCATTCCACCCAGCTGATGAGGAAATTTAACAACGCTGCTGAACACAAACATCTCCTCAGGCTGATGTGGAGAAAAGAAACATTTCAGTTTCTGTCCGGTCTACGTGGACCTGGACCAGGTTTATGAGGACCCTGCTCCCTGTGGGATCAGAGTTGGCTCTTAAAGGCTATCTGGTCCCTGTGGGACACACAGAGTCCATCTTGGTTTTCACTGACCATGTGGTTCTGGTCACTTGTGTAAGTGGACCCAAACGATTTTAAAGCCAAACCCAGAGCAGAGGGTGGTCTGTGTCTCTGCTCACATCAGTTTGGTTTCTCCTGGAACAATAATGTTGTAACATCAGTATTTTTAAATAGTTTATTAGTGTTTAGTGACGGAGAACTTCAGCTGTTTCAGATCAGACTGTCTGAAGACTAAATAACTGCAGTTTTAGCTTCTAGAAGATAAAGTGAGGTTTATCAGCTCAGCATATTTGCATGATGAAGCAGGATGTTTGTTTCTCTCCACAGACACGTCTTCAGTTCTGTCACTGAGCTCAAACCGTCTCATTTCCTTAAAAGAAGAACTAAAACCCTCCATTCCCACAGCCCCGTCACAAACCAAACCATCAGACACACTGGGCCCAGCACCAGCTCACTGCGACCACACTCAAGTCCAACAGGAAAAGTAGAAACCAGAACAACGTACCAACGAGATCCCTCGGGCCACCCTCTGACTGGCAACACCTCCCCAGAAGTCTCCCATGGCTCCTGAGTCCTCTGGGTCAGCTTACCCCTCCTCACATTCAGGAGAAACCAGAGACCTCCAAAACAAAGAAAAACTGCTGGAAAACTCCCCGCAGAGTGAAAACTAGACCTGAAGTCCTGCAGCTCAGAGACCGGTTCCAGAAGAGTCCAGACCTGTAGGGAGTCCTGTCAGCTGAGCCTCGGCTATGAGTCAGGTATTTATAGCAGAGGTGTTGCTTCACTGAGCACTGTCGCAGCAACCAGAGCAGCAACTGACAGCTCAACTGGTGTCCTGAGGGGCTGCAAGCACAGCAGGAGGCGGGGCTTCAAGACATCTTTACTAACTGAAACAAATCAGGAGGCGGGGCTTCAAGACATCCTTACTAACTGAAACAAATCAGGAGGCGGAGCTTCAAGACATCTTCACAAACTGAAACAAATCAGGAGGCGGAGCTTCAAGACATCTTTACTAACTGAAACAAATCAGGAGGCGGAGCTTCAAGACATCTTCACAAACTGAAACAAATCAGGAGGCGGAGCTTCAAGACATCTTTACAACCTGAAACAAATCAGGAGGCAGAGCTTCAAGACATTTATAAAGTGAAAGAAGGCAGGAGGCGGGGCTTTGTGACATTTTTAAAGTGAAAGAAGGCAGGAGGCGGGGCTTTGTAACATTTATACAGTGAAGTAAGACAGGAGGCGGGGCTTTGCAACATTTATAAAGTGAAAGAAGGCAGGAGGCGGGGCTTTGTGACATTTTTAAAGTGAAAGAAGGCAGGAGG